ATCCTGCCCAGAGCAACCTATAAAGATTCAATGCAATTTCTATTAAATTATCAATATCAGGTTTTATAGAATTAGAAAAAAAAAAATCCTAAAATTCATATGGAACCAAAAAAGATCCTGAAGAGCAAATTCATCCTAAGCAAAAAATAAGCTGAAGTTATTACCTTACCTGACTTTATATTATACTTCAAGTCTATAAGCCAAAATAAATAGTAATAGTATAAAAATAAATGCATAGATTAATGGAACAGACTACAGAAGCTAGAGATATAACCACATACCTACAACACACTGATCTTTGACAAAGGCAAAAATATATATACACTGAGGAAAGGACACTCTATTCAATAAATGGTACTGGGAAAATTGGAGAGTCATATATGCAGTCATAAAATGGAATCTCTATCTCTCACCATATATAAAAATTAACTCAAAATTGATTAAAGACTTAAATGTAAGGCCTGAAACTATAAAAAATCTTAGGGAAAAACCTAGGAAAACTCTCCTGGACATTGGTCTAGGCAAAGGATTTATGATTACATCCTCAAACGGAAATACAACAACAAATATACGCCAATGGAACTTAATTAAACTGAAAAACTTCTGCTGAGTAAAAGAAATAATCAACAGAGGACACAGACAACCCACAGAATGGGAGAAAATATTTGTAAACAATGGATCTGATAAAGTGCTAATATCCATAATATACGAGGAACTCAACTCAATGAAAAAAAAAAAAAGAACCTCATTAAAAAGTGGGCAAAGGACATGAACATACATTTTTCAAAGGAAGACATACAAGTGTTCAATAAACATATAAAAAATCCCCAACATCACTAATCATCAGAGATATTAAAATTAAAATCACAGTATCATCTTATATCCTTACTACAGCTATTATTACAAAGTCAAAAAACGAGAGATGTTGGTGAAGATGAGGAGAAAAGAGAATGCTTATACACGGTTGGTGGGAATGTAAATTAGTACAACCTCTGTGGAAAACAGTATAGAGATTTACCAAAGACCTAAAAACTGAACTACCATTCAATCCAGAAATCCCAGTACTGGATGTCTACTTAAATAAAAAGAAATAATTTTATTAAAAAGACACCTGTGGCTGGGTGAAGTGGCTCACGCCTGCAATTTCAGCACTTAGGGAGGCCAAGGCAGGCAGATCACTTGAAGTCAAGAGTTTGAGACCAGTTTGACTGACATGGTGAAACCACATCTCCACTAAAAATTAAAATAAATAAAATAAAATACAAAATAATTAGCCTGGTATGGTGGTGGGTGACTGAAATCCCAGCTACTCAGAAGGCTGAGGCAGGAGAATTGCTTGAACTTGGGAGGCGGAGATTGCAGGGAGACGAGATCTCACCACTGCACTACAGTCTTGGCAAAAAAAGTAAGACTCTATCTCAAAACAAAAACAAACAAACAAGCAAAAAATACCTGCACTCGTATGCTTATCACAGCACTAATGACAAAAGCAAAGTCATAGAATTAATCTAAATGTCCATTAACTGATAGTCAGCCATAAAAAATGAAGTCAAGTCATTTGCAGCATTATGGGTAGAACTGGAGGCCATTATCCTTAGTGAAATGAGTCAGAAACAGAAAGTTAAAAAATGCATGTACTCACTTTGATGTGAGAGCTAAATAGTGGGTACATAAGGACATACAGAGTGAAACAATAGACCATTAGAGACCCTAAAGTGTGGGAGGTTGGCAGAGGGTGGCAGGGATGGGATGGGACAGGAGGGTGGGAGGGATGAAATACTATCTATCGGATACAATGTACTCTATTCAGATGATGAGAACACAAAACCCCATACTTCACTGCACAGTATATCCATGTTTCACAACTGCACTTGTACCCCTAAATCCATAAAAATGAAACACTTTTTATTAACTAAAGCAGCCTTACATTTCCCTTCCTTCTTCATACACCAGTTTTGTTTGGGCTAACAGTGATCAGCATATAATGAAATCTGAGGGTCACTTTCTAGTCCCTAACTCCTGTGAACTCTCAGCAGCCCTTGACATAGTTGCTTTACTCACTGCTTCATATATTCTTCATCATGCTTCAAGAACATGATCTTTTCTGTTTTTCTCATAACTCACGGGACTTCCTCAGTTTCCTTCACTGGCTTCTTCTATTATTCATCTCTAAAGTTAGAGCACTAGGTGTTGGTCCTAGGATCTAGTTTCTATCTGTACTGAGTCCCTAGAAGATCTCAATAGAGCACTGAATTTAAATAGCATCTGTATGTTGCTAACTCTAAAATTTCTGTTTCTAACTTTCGTGTTTCTCCTGAATAGTAGATTCTACATATGACATTGTCGGTAGATATCTAACAGGCAGCTCAGTTTTAGAGACACAAGAAGTCTTACTTGTCCACTTTCCCAAAACTACTCTTCCTTAGTCTTTTCCATTTTGTTCGACAGTACTATAATTTTTTCAGAACTCAGACCAGAATTTTCAGATCATCCTTAAATTCTCTCTCTCACCTGCCGTATTCAATTGAGCAGCAAATTATATTGGCTTTGCCTTAAAAAACAAAACAAAGACTGAGACTCAAGTCACTTCCCACTTCCTTAATCGTAACCATGCTCAGTTGAGACCCCATCTTGTGAAGAATGATCATAGCCTTCTGTTTTCCATGATTTCATTTTTGTCTTCCAAAAACACGCTCCATCTCCATGCACAGTTCGAGTGTTCTTCTCATTAGGTAAGCCATAAGCATTAGGTAATACTAACACTTAAACCCTCTAGAGCTTCTGAACACGTTTAGAATAAGTTCCAAAGACTTTCCTGTGAACAACATAATCTGGATCATGCTAGCTCTGTCATTCTGCTTCATACCTCTCTCTTCCTCACACACTTTTTTCTGACCATGTATATGTCAAGTATGCTCCACACCAGGGCTTTACCTCTGCTCTACCTTGCCTTGATTGTTCCTTCCCTGGCCCCATTTAGCATGGCTTGTAGTTTCACTCTTCAGCTCTTCATTTAGGCTTCTTATCATATGATTTCCAATGCACAATGTCTGAACTAGTGTCTCTTACCTATCCCTACTTTTTCTATTTTCTTACTCTGATCCTTCTTTCTAGTGTTGCACACTTACCCTATTTTACATATTTACTTGCTTGTTTGTTTATTAGTTCTTCTCCTGTGCCAATCCATCCCCCATTCCCCATGCCCACTGGATGCCAATGAATTTTTACCACTTTCATTCACATTTGCATCCTCATTGCATGGACCTGTGGCTGACACACATAATAAATACGTATTGGATGAGTAAATGCCTACACTCCTGCTTAGTCTAGTTTTAGCAATAGTCTTATGATATAAGCATTAGAAAATCATTAACAGACTGAAGTTCATATTTTATATCTGCGTTCTCTAGTCTGCTTCACAAAACTTTTCTTCAAAGAAAATCAAAGGCTAGTGAGAGATTAATAAATGCTTTTGACAAGTGGTAATGTTGATTTCATAACTTTCCTAATTAGATAAATCATAATTATCAACGATGAAACAGTATTTTTAAAACTCTCCTCATGAAAAAGTTTTAATTAAGAAGTTGAAACATGTTGAGATACAAACTAGTATGAGGTTTTGAGGTGAATTTTTATTTTAATGAAATTGTATTTTAGCAAATATATGCTTCTCCCTCTGAGTAGACATTTTATATTGAAGATGAAGCTGTATTTGTGGAATATTTACTATAAATAATTTGATAAGACTTGCAGTCAGGGTCAAAATTTAACAACTGTAAATTTAGTTTACAGGTTTACTTTCATGTTAACAAAATTTAAAAACACATTTTTTTCTCTATCATGTCATGCTGTTAGCAGACCATGAATGTGATCAACTAGTATGTTTTAGAAGTACAATTAGATGTTAACCTAGGTTATTCTACTTATCATGTATATTTTTAAGATCCACATGCCTGTCTTTACATGTTTACAGTTTTAGGTGATTGAATTATTATATTGGCCAGTAGGGCACACATTATCTGCTTCCTCCCTAATTTTCCAAACTTATCTTATGCCACACCCCCTCACTCAGTATGGTCCAATGAACTGGATTCTTTTTAGTCTTCAAACACGCTAGTTCTTTCCTATCTTAAGGAATCAGTACCTAGACCCTCTTCCTGAAAGCCCTTCATTTGGTTTTTTCTGTATGCTTTTAGATAAAACATCACTTCTTTTAAGATGTACTTTGTGAGTCCTTTCCCTCATATACTCTCATTTCACTCCCAAATTTCATTTCTCTTTTTATTCCTTTTATTAGCAGTCTTTTTCCTTATTAAGACTTAGAGCAATTTGTAATTATGTGTTTATTTTAAAACTTATTTGTCTCAGGTCACTCGTCGATTTTCTAAGCTATGAAACAACAGGTACCTTATTAGTTTTATTTACCAAGAAATATTCTTCATTAAGCGTCACATCCTGTCTAAATATTTGTTTAATGAGTGAAGAAAGGAATGAATTCTTTACATACACTTTTCTTCTGTCTACAATGGTATTAAGGGATACTAGGTCAGAAGCCATGCTGTGGGTAAATTTACAGCATTAGAATTTCATTACACACAGAAGTTTATATTTATATCTTGTTGCAAAATGTTTTCTTTCAATGAAATCAACAGATGATTTTCTCTAACTGGCCCATTAGGATCCAAGGCAAAAAATTAAAAGTTCTTTTTGAATCATATAGAGACTCGTTTACAATTGAGGCAATTGCCAATCAGTGTGTGTCTTAAGATTCTCAATAAAAGAACAATGTATAGAGTCTAGATTTCACAATGGAAGTATTAGAGACAAAATTACATTATTAATGATAGCACTGAAATATCATAATAATTCTAAGAAAATGAATTCCCAGAAAATTAAAATGTAACAAAATATGAATTTGAGCTAAATACGGAAAATATGTATATCATTGGGTGTGTTTTTAGTTTAATATACATGATAGTGTTTTAAAACATCATACTTACTTAATCACCAGCATGGAATATGAGGTAAGTCCAATTGCACAGAGGAAAGAATCTAAGACTTTAACTGCAAAATAAACATAAAATTTCCTTGTACAAGCATCATCTCTTGGGCATTCACCCAGGTGCACTGAGTAATTTTTGTTCTGGAGACCGGTTACTTCCACACAGCTGCAGTTATAAAACACCTAAAAATAATTTTTGAAATATTACCAAATACATTTGCCACATGCAACTGGGCTATGAATACATTCCATTATATTTAAAGAAGTCTCAAACTAAAATATTTATAGTTTTAAAAATATTATAAAAATACAGTTGCTTAATAATGAAAGACAAAATTGCTTCCTGAATTACTTTCTGTATAAGATAATGTAATTGAATATTAACATTTAATAAATTCTTAATATTAAAATTGGGAAATAATTTAAGAAATTAGCATATGAAACTGTATATAATTTTCTCATCAATATAAATTGTTTTCAATATTGCTCTTTCACCCACACCTACTTCCTAAAATATGCATTTTTACTCACTTTAACAATCTCTACTAACTATTAGTGACATGCCTGGGGAAGGATTACCCCAAAACTTCAGAAAATACAGCAGGTGAAATCTGGAACTAGAGCCACTCATGAAAATAGGACAGAGTACAGAGGAAACAGAGATGGGCATGGATGTCAGAATTCTATTTAAGCAGTCGAAAGCAGCATTCAAGACCATAATGACAGATAATAAAATAGGTAATATTATTACCAGAGAGGTCCAACACAACAGAATGTCCTGACTAATGGTGAGAGTACAGAAGGGGAACATTAGGATCAAGCGATTTGAGAGTTTAATCAGGCAGTGTTTGTAGGGAGGTGGCTTTAAAAAAAATCTATTCTGATTCTAGGCTAAACAAAAGTTTAAGGGAAGTTTGCCTTTAACCTACTAGTGCTAAAGAATAATTACTGAAGGAAGAATTTTAAAAGAATTTAAATCTATACTTTTATAGTCCCACCAAGCTTCCTCTAATCCTTCTTTTTTTTCACTAAGAATAATATGGAGCAATCTTTTTAGAGAAAGCACATTGGCCAATAAAACCAAATTTGATACAGAGAACATTATTTTATAAAGAGATTTTTTTTTTTAACTGAGGATTTAGTAAAGGAATTTTGCAGTAGCCCCCAGAGGGCAGAGCCATTGTCCATATTAAGAAGATATCTCCATGGAGACAGAGCTCTTTTTAGGATTCTAATATTATGTTTCTTTCAGATCTTCACTATTGGGGAAAGTGAAACTAGGGATTAAATGAGGGCACCCTTACTGAAAGATATTATAGTCGAGGAATATGAGATGTGGGCTTTTAAGTATAGTCCTTGGGCCATATATGTTGTGCAAGTTTATTAAAGTTATGGCCTATCTTCAAGGAACCTAGGACGCTTTATTCTTCAAATTTCTCCATGCCTTTCCATGATATATCAGCATGACAGTGGGCAAGGGAAAGATGAAAAATGTTTAAAAATGAAACATGGAAGAGTGTGGTGGAGAGTAATTATCATAGCTGACTATGTTGCTAATGTTGGCAATAGGAAGATGGCCTGAAAAATGATTACACAACTTTGTGAGATGCTGAGTGAATGGTAGGTATGCGGAATACCATACCCAATTTCCAACTATTGGGAGTTACCCAGGATACTGGGAAAAACCTGAGGCTCACATGGAAAAAAACCTTTTGAGTGAAGAAAAAAAATGGAATTTCTAATGGATATGTTGGCAACAAGTGAGCAGGATACTAAATTATCCTGGGTAACAGAAGTGCCGGCTGTGAGGAAATCAACATAGGAAATCGAGAACTGGGCAGTCAAGTGAGCATAAATCCTTGATTAATTTATTGGAAAGTCAAAAGCCCCAGTGAGCCCCTAGCTAAACACATCAGGATGTATATATAAAAATGCACATAGATTATTGTCCCAGTGAAGTAGGTAGTGCTGACACCAGGTTAATCAGGACTTTCCTCTAACTTCTGATGGATAAATTAATTCCAAATTAATTGCAATCCTGTGCTTCAGTCAAATCAGATGCTTCTTAGAAATCCTAAGTGGATTAAATTTTAATAGGTCATATTTCTACATTCTCAAGAAAAAAGTGGGGTAATCTCAAAATAGAATTCAAATAACAGAAAATCTTGGTTGTGTCCTAAGCAGGACTTCATATGAAGCTTTGTTTATACTTCACATCCATCACAATGACAGATAATATTGAAATCTTTTATCTTTATACTGGAGACCTTAGCTATAGGAAGATACGATAAGCAATTATTGAAAAATCAAATCTGTGATTTTGATTAAGGAGAGAAGGAAAAACAAAAACAAATACTCACTATGGGCTCTTTATTACCACTTGAAGATTTGCATCCTGCTAGACAAGGTGAGATGTAAGTTATTCCATTGTTCCCACAAACTGGTTCCCATTGACTTTCATCACAATTGCACTCTGAGTTGCAATAAGAAAGTGGTACATCTACATGAGATCTTACTGGACTATTTCTGAAAATATATGATAGACATATATCAAAAAGAGAGAAAGAGAAGATAGTGGAAGAAAAGAAGGAAGAGGAGGAGAGAGACAAGGGGGAAGTAGAGGGGAAATAAAGGAGGAGGGAAGGTGAGGGAAAGAAGAGAGAAATGAAATAAAGGATTTTCTTTAATTAGATCAAGAAATTTGATCTGATAATGCCAAAATAGGTTTTTTAAAATGCTTTTAATTTTTTAATGCTTGTAACTCTCCTTCTATACGAAGACACGATTTATTACTTAGAAAAGGTAAAACTTAAAAAATAAATCAGGGATTAGATAAGACTTACACAAGAGGTTATTACGATTCCATCAAGAAGTTTCACATTAGAAAAGTAAATTTATTTTTCTAGACTCATTTTTTTTGGGGGGGGTGAGATAAAGGGAATGGCATTAGATTGAAGTTCCTCTCAGGTCACTATAAACTTCTGTGAATCTATGGATGCTAGTTAATGTGGTTGAACTTTAAAATCTGTATCTTAACTACATAAAATAAGAATTCATTTTGGTTAGAGCCGAACCTCTGAAGAATGAAAAACAAAAAATAATAGAATCAGTTGAAAAGGGCTAGAAAAGTTCTGTATATTTTTTAAGTGACACTACAATATGTTTAAACTGATTTACTTTATAATAAGGCTATAAATTATTAAATATAATTTTAATCATGGCTAAAATTATAAAGCATATTATTTGTATAAATTTTCTGCTTCAAGATTTTAAAAGTTATTTTGTTTTGCAAAAATTCGTTAATGATTGGGGATTGATGAAGCACCTGTGAATAAGTATGTCATTTAAATTGAGAAAAAAGTCCATCAGTAATTTAGAAAACACATTATTAATACTTTCATTTAAAGTCATCTAATTCGTTATTTTGCTTGAGAACATCCTACTGGGAGTAGCTATGGAGAAAGGTTTATGATTGCTATGGTCTAAATATTTGTGCGTCCCTAAATTCATAGATTGAAATCTAATCTCCTATGTGAAGGTATTAAGAGACAGGGCTGTCATAATGTGATCTGGTCATGAGGGCGAACCCTCCTGAATGGAGTTAATGACCCCTTGCATATTCCACCATGACTAAACACAGCTAGATGTCACAATCTATGAACTAGGAAGTGTGCCTTTACCAGATACCAAATCTCCCAGCACCTTGATCTTGTATGTTCCAGCCTCCAGAACTGTGAGAGATACATTTCTGTGTATTTACAAATGACACAGTATTTTGTTATAGCAGCTCAAATGGACTAAGATAATGACCTAGTCCAGAAATTGCAATCAGATCCTCTTGTGTTCAGATTAGTTCTGCCATAGCTTAGCAATGTGACTACTCTTTGTAAAAAATGTCAACCTCATAGAGACTTTTGGGGAAAAATAATTTTTTGACAGTTTTCAAATACGTTTTTTCTTAGGAGTCCTTCAGAGTATCAAAAAGTATTGAAGGACCCAATGTTTTTTTGTTTTAATTAGTTATATCTATAGACACTCTAGTAGAAGTTAATATTAATACATTTTAATACATAAGCAGACATATTTTTAGCTGTCAGACTGGTGGCATCAACATATACCATATAGTCTTAAAATATCACTATACCTTCA